ACAAAGACTTCTGCTTAGAACATACAAAACATGTCCAGAAGTTAACGGTAAAAGGATGACCCATTTTTGACGGGCACGAGATCTGAATGAACGCTTCGTAAAAGCACAGATGTAAATGGATAACAAGCACATGAAAGGATATTTGACACAGCAATCATTAGGAAAACGCACATGGGGACCACGAGGAGATAGGACTTCACACCCACTTGTGAGGCTAAAATGCAAAAGGCTGCACATAGCAAGTGCTGGCGAGGATGTGGAGCAACTGGGACCTCTTACTCAGTAGAAGCGTAAAACGTTGTAACTGCTGGGGCGTTTCTCTCAATGTAAAACATACACTTACTCGATGTCCTGGCAGTTTTCCTCTTAGATATTTACCCAAGAGAAATGAATACATATCGCCAAAAAATCTGTAGCTTTATCTGTAGTAGCTACTAGCTGGAAGCACCCCAATTTGTTGGAAACACCAGACCCCAACAGGAGATGGGATAAAGAAGTTGCGGTCGATCCGTGCAGTGCAGCGAGAAGGGACAAGCCACTGACAGACGCAACACTTTGAAGAACCTCAGAAACATTGGAAGTGAAAGGAGCCAGATGCCAAAGACGGCGGGATTCCATTTGTGCGAAGTTCTAGAACAGGCAAGACGGATGGAAACCATGGTGGTGGTTGTCTGAGTTGGGCCAGCGGTGGGCATTCTGGGCAGAAAGGCAAAAAGGAGACTTCCCGGGGGGATGGACATCCTCTGGTCTTGACCGAGGTGGTGATCACGTGGGTGGAGACCAACGTCAAAGCACATTGAAGCGCTCCCTCCGGATCTGTCCATCTTATCACTCGTTTAAGGAAAACAGCAGGGGATTTCCTGGTCAGATTTCCGGAGGCGGGGCCTGGACAAGGCTGATGCACCCCAGGACAAGCCCGGAGGACCTGCAGGCGGACCCCTGGAACTCGGGGGGACCTGGACGGTCAATGGGATCAATGCGGCCTCGCCCCTGTGCCCCACTCCCAGGTGCTGGAGGGCATCTATTTGGTGCTGGAGCTACTCTGCTGGCTCACAGACCTTTCAGTTCCGGGGACAAACCACCACCACCACCAAAACCCCCCAAACCGGCATCTCCAAGCAGTTAAACAAGAGTCAGCCAGGGTGACCTTGAGTTTTCTGATTCAGAGGCCAGAGGGTCTCCCATGGGTGTCCCCGGGAGCTCCCGTCCCCCGCTCACGTGGGGACTTCAGCCTCAGCAAGGCGAGACGTGGCGCCTTCACCAGCCGGTGCCTCCCTCATCAGCTCTCCCTCCTTTGTTTGACACCTAAGCCCGAGGGCCTGCCCTCCTCAGACGCACCTCCGCTCCATCCCTGTTCCCTCTCCAGAAAGGCTCTCTTGCTCCTCGCGCGCCAGCACGCAGGAACACTGCCGACTTGTGTTTGCAAGCCCCTGCAGGCTTGGCATGACCCACCGGCCTGGAGACGCGGGTCCCATAACACAGCTGCAGACGGGGAGCGCGCGGGGAGCCAATTCACGGTCAAGGTCACTGGAAAAAACGAGAAAGCGGCCGCGAGTGTTAGGCCCCGAGGGCTACTTGAGCGGCAAGCCCAGGTCAGCACGGCAAAAAAAAAACAAAAAACCGCACCAGCCTCCACGCTGCCAAGGCACCTGCTTCCTGAAGGGGCCGAGGGCCCGATGAGACATGACGTCACTGGGTTTTATCACATTTCAGTGAGAGGAGACAGAAAAACAAGGCCTCGTGGAGGTAAGCTACCCACGCTGGGGGGTGGGGGCAACACAAGATTTCCAGCCGGGTGGACCAGGTCCCCAGGACTCGGGAATAAAGCCGCCTTGTCACCGAGCCTGGACTGTGTGCCTGCAACGACCAAGGGACTCTGAGCGTGGGCCTTCCACGGGATGGTCTGTCAAAGAAAAGCGTTGACTTTCTTAAGGAGCCCATATAATGGAAGGTATTGTGGCGGCGCAGAAACGAGATGCTTAATTGCTAAGTAAAACAGATGAAAATTTCCTTTACTCTTAAGAAAAATAAAATCGCCCGTTGAAATAATAATGTCACTTTCCTTTGGTGATGGTTTAATTGAAAAATTTTTGGCGCGTTCTCTTTCTGCCGAGGGCAGAAGTTAACTCTCCTTTATGAATGTGCGTATTATTGATTTTCGTGATTATTAAAGTGTTCGTGAAATGCATGCAGAGTTAACCCTGCGGTAATACCGTCGACTCCTAATGAAAGTGTACCCTCCCCCGGCCCACCCCAGCCTCCTGCGGTCCTTCCAGGCGCCCTCAGCACACCCACTGCGAGTTCTCCTTCGGTCGGGGCTGGGGAAGAGGCACACGCCCAGACCGGAAGCCATCCCTAACAAAGGGGGGGCATTTGGGAGGAGGAGGTCTCCTTAGCTCTTCGTGAACGGGTCTACCACATGTCTTTTATTCCTTTAATTAAAAAAAAAAACTTGCCTCCTTCTTAAAATTTGTTTTCAATTGCAAAGTCGTACCATGCAGAAAAGTGAACAAACTAATGGACACAGATAAAATGTGTTGTCACAAGGTGCACGCTCACGCGTGTTATCATCATCCGGGTCAGGAAGTGGAACGGGACCGGCCTGTCAGAAGTGCCCCGCCCCCGCCCCCAGCACTTCCCGCCTTTCCTCCCCAGGGTGACCGTTCTCATGGTCATTACAGATGAGGTTTGCCTTGTTGATATTTCTACAAATGGAGCCACTCAGTTTGTAAAAGTTAGGCCTTGCTTCTTTGGGAGACGTACTCATGTTGTTGCATGTCATTGTGGTTGGTTAATTGCCATTTCTCCGCAGGTTGCAATGACCATAACTTATTTATCCATTTTGTGGTTGATGGACAGGTGGCTTGTTTCCAGTGTTGGCTACTGGAAGTAACGCTACCGTGACCAGGTCTGTCTTCTGGTGCATGTGGGCGTGGCTTTCTGCTGTGGACACACCTATGAACTGGACTGCCCACCACGGGGCACAGGTGGGCTCAGCTCCAGCAGACGATGAGAGCCTGTTTTTCAAAGTTACATCAATTTACATGCTCACTCATCACATAGTTAACGTTTTAATTGCCCGCATCCTTGCTAATACTTGATACTGCCAGACATTTTTATTTTGGCCATTCTGTGTGTGTTGGGGGCCGGGAGTATCATGGTGTGGTTTTAATTTGCCTTTCCCTGATGACTAGAGGAGACTGAATATCTTTTCACTTGCTTTTGGACACTGGGTATCCTTTTGGGAAATTCTTAATACTCTTGTCTATTTTGGGATGGCATTTTTCGATGAATAGAAGGTCTATCTTTGAGTTCTTGTTTTCAGAGAGAGGGGAAGGGAGGGAGAAAGAAACATGGATGTGAGACAGGAATGTTGACTGGTTTCCTTTCACACGCACCCCAGCTGGGGACCAAACCCATAACCCAGGCATGTGCCCTGACTGGGAATCGAACTGGTGACCTTTCAGTCTGCAGAACGAGGGATGGTATCCAATCAACTATGCCACGCTGGCCAGGGCAGAAGGTCTTGCTCTAAATGCGGTCATCTTTCTTGATTTCCTTCTTCTCTTGGATCTTGGCCCTCCTGACTGCCTTTTACATCTCCAATGCCTTTAAACAGGTTTTAAAAAGTTTCTCCAGCTTTTCTCAGTGTTTCCAGTGGAAGAATTGGGCACAAATCCCTCTGGCAATCACCATTAATTCATGTAGCTCTTTCTGCCGGCATTTCATATTTCTCAGTGTACACTCAGAATGCCTTTTCTTGACTTAACACCCTAGACACTTTACCTTGACTTTGTCTTGTGGTAGGAGAGCACTTATCTACTCTACCCCTGTCCTTTATATTCTCCCGTCCTCTCAATAGAGTTATTTCATCATTTCAAACTTTCGACCATGTTTAATTTATATTGTATCAGGTCTATCTAAACATTAATCTCTGCAGATTCAAGCGGCTGGTAAGAAATGTTCCAAGCTGGTTGCATTTGGGGCGGTGGGTAGGACTCTCTCTGAAGTTTTCAGCAGCCCAAATGACACTCTAGATCTTCCAGAACAGTCTCCAGTTCAAACAGAGCAGGCTGTCACCATCCTCAGACTGGATGGTAGTGGTCCCTCCAATGGAGGAGGGATGCTGAGGGACCGAGCTCCGTGGACCCTATCGACTCACTGACTCAGAGCTGCCGTGAAGTGGAACCCGGGAGCAGCTGCTTAGCAAGCAGCCCCTCAGCCGACCCCCCGGCACCCACATCCCCACGCAGCACCGCTAACCTCTGCTCTTGCCATATGTTCAGTGACTCTTGTGAAGTGGGACTTGCAAAAGTGGCCTTGGAGAGAATTCCAGCTGCCGGAGGTGGGGCACAGCAGAAAGGGTCTTTCCCGGGGAGCGTACGGTCCCCGGGGGTGGGCGGCCAGATGGGCTCACACTCCCACGGGAGGTGGGGAGTAGGGCTCGCTGTAACCGAACACCTAAAGGGCTAAGCGTTTGCACAGAACGGACAGAGGACTTGGGGTGGGAGGGATCGCAGGAGGCTCGGTGGGCTGGGTTTCGAAGACCAGGCAGGATGGATGTGCAGAGATGGGAGAACATTCTAGAAGGAAGGGTGGACTAGGGTGTGTGTATGTTCTGTGCTTATGAACAGGGCTGATGGGCACCGCTGTTGTCCAAACACAGTACCAGCATGCGCAGGGCATGCTCAGCCTCATGAATCCAAGGGGCCCAAAGAGGCCGGGATGGGAAAAGCCCGTGTGTGTGTCGGAGGACTTCGGATAAGGGGGCACAGTGAGGGGAGGGGGGTGACATTTTGGACAGCTGAGTCCCAGGCCTAGGGGGCTCCTCACACCACAGCACCTATCCCGGGGCCCCGCTGGACTTGGAAGAGGCTGTTCGTGAAGCCATGGGTAATTTCAGTGAACCTTCTTCACTTTAAATTTTCTTAATTTCAGAAAACCACTTCTATGTTAAAATGAACAAGAAAATAATGAAGCAGAATGCAAAATATGCATAGGTTTCTTTTAGGACCAAACAGATACAACCTCCAAGGAATTCTGACTCTGTCCTGGAGGCCCCTGCGTGTTTGCACCCTCCTGTGGCCCCCGGGGCAGCTCAGGACAAGGCCTGAGAAGCCCCAGCATCCTCTGCGCATCCGATCTTCACGGCAACTCGATGAGGCAGGTACAGCCGTGCCGACAGGTGAACACCCTGAGGCCCGTCAGGGGCGTGCCACGTGCCCAAGGTCATCGAGAGAATGAGCGGCAGCTTCAGAACTCAAACCAGGATCTGGGTCCCAAGGCTCAGTCCTTTCTGCAAGAGCCTGAGGGGCTGATAAATGATAAAAAAAAACAAAGAAAGAAAGCTGAGGTAGGCTGGTGCCGAACCATGGAAAGTCTTCAGTGCGGGGCTGAATGAAGGGTTACCTGCCAAAGAGAAGGTTCATGGCCCACGAGGGTTCCATGGGGAGGAGCCAAAGGTGAGCACAGGAAGAGATCTGGTTGTTCTCATCCCAGCTTCTTTGGTGCCACCTCTCATCCCTGAGACTGAGCATGACCTTGACCCAGCAAGGACACTTTTCCCACAGCGCAAGTAGGAAACGTGCCTCTTTTTCTGTTTGTTTTCTACTAGTGTTGTCCTGCAGAGCTCAGAGGGCTCGGGGTCACTGGCCAGCACCTTCTGGAACTGGACGCTGGACACTGGGTGCCTGTCCTCTGTGGGAAAGCACACCTTCCCATGACCGGGAGATATTCTGCAGCTGATGCACTGGGAGAGAACGGCATTACTGACTCTGAGAGAAAACCCATGGAGCGTTGCTATGCAAATCAAGAGCCTTATGTTTTTTTTCATAGTAGGGAAAAGAAACTTCAAAAAGGACCCCCCAAATGTGCCACTAAGCGGGGGAGAGTTATCTGTGGCTTGAGATCAGTCAAAAACAACTCCTTTGACTGGGAGTTAGTTGGTTGCTACAACTTGCAACGGAATGCTACTACTGTCTTTCTTCTTCTCCTTTCCCTTTTTTAGTATGTGTTGAGAGAGTTTGTTAAGAAACCAGCCAACGTCCTGGAGATCCTCCGGCCACCGCAGGTACTGCCGTTTCTGCACAAAGCTTCTGATGGACTCATGTCTCATCAGCTGGTACTGAGACAAGGACCCGACCACCACCATGATGAGGGCGCTGTCGCGGGCAGCAAGGCCCCTGCTCTGGGCGTAGCTAAAGGCCTCCAGGCACCAGCCATCTCTAAGGAAGTGTCTGCTCACAAGGCAGACAGTCTTCCTGCTGCTCCACACGGCGTCGTGGATGTTGGCCACGTGGTCTTCCCCTGGCGTGAAGTCTCTTTCTTCAAAGCACAGGTGCAATCTGTTTCGGTCGCTGTACTGGGCGTCCAGGTGTTTCAGCAGAGCGTTCTGCACCCACTCGAAGTCTTTGCCGCTGAAGCACAAGTAGGCATCGTATCTGTACCTGTCGGACTCTCTCGTGCTGCCCTGGTCCCTGAACACCCGTCTCTGGGCCGTCTCGTAACAGGAGAAACAAGCGCCCCGGAACCTCGTGATGACGACGACGGTCACGAGGAACAGCGTCGAAGTGACGGTGAATAAGATGAAAAGGGAGAACTTTAGGGACTGCATGCTTTCCTCCTCATCACAGCCCTCTGTGGACAGAGAGTGGAGAGGCGTCCCAGACAGCAAGTCGGGGTACGTGCAGTACATGTCTGCGTGAGACCCAAATATGGCGACGTCGGTTTGGTTGAGCCACCTGATGAAGGCGCTAAGTTCACACTCACAGATGAACTTGTTGTGGCTTAGGTCCACGGCACTAAGCGAGGCTAATACAGTAGGATCGGGAGTGAGGAGCTGGTTCTGGGACACGTCCAGCTTCTCTAAATTAGGGGGCAGGTCGCCAGGAGAAAGCACACTCAGCCTGTTGAAGCTGAGGCTGAGCCCCCTTAACGCAACCAGATGGCGAAACACTCCCGGCGGAAGGAAAGTCAGGTAGTTTTCATTCAAGAACAGGACCTGGAGACGGGAAAGCCCCTTGAACACATCCCAACAGGACCCGGTCTCCCAGGCAAGCTGCAACATATTTCCTCCCAGGAGAAGCTGTTCGAGGCTGGGGCTCTCCGAAGGCGCACGGGTTTGGGCACAACGGGAAAGCCGGTTTTGATTCACAATGAGAGTCCGGAGCCGAGGGACCTGGAGCAGGAAGTAGAGATCGTCCAGATTCTCCAGCCTGTTGTCAGATAGCTGGATGTAGTCGGTGGTGAGGCTGGTGTCTCGGAAAGTCGCCAGTTTGTTGCCACCCAGGAAGATCGTAGAGATGCTTGGGATGGAACTAGTCGTCTTCAGAGCATTATCCCGGAGGTCCAAGGTCTGTAAGCTTTTCAGGGCTGTGAATGTATCGTCCTGAATGATCCCGATGTGATTCTTCTGCAGGTCAATGTAGGTGACGCTTGGGAGCCCGTGGAAGTTAGAATCGTACAGTTCCCCCAGAAGGTTATAAGACATGTTGAGAACTTGGAGGCTGCTGAGCCCATAAAACGCCCCATCTGCAATGTGGTTTATCTTGTTGTGGGCAAGGTTCAGAAGCTTCAGCTCCATGAGGGTCTCCAAGAGCCGGGAGTTCAGGGAGAAGATGTATCCATGTGAGAGGTCCAGGCCTCTCACTGAGCTCCTGGCCAGGCCGGTGAACGTGCTCCGGTCGGGGTCTTTGATGTTACGGAAGCCAAACCCAGGCCCCATAATGTGGTGGGCAAGCACCAGGTTGGCAATCTGGCTGCCACGGATGGCGTGGCTGAAGTTGCTGACGATGCCCACGGTCCAGCCATTGCCCGAGACATCGAGGGTGTCTAGGACCATGTTTCGGAATGGGTTCGTGCACCTGCCCCAGTCCACCGAGACCTTGCTGTACACGTGAGTGGAAGCAAGCTTCAAGGAGGAGAGTGTTTTCCCGTGGAGTGGCTGGAGTTCGTGCTCACACAGCGTGGGTACTTCATTGAGGGAAAAGTCGATGGACTCCAAGGAATTTAGTTCCCGGAATGAAGGATGGAGGGAAAGGCTGTGAATCTGATTTTTGGACAGGTCCAGGTGAGACAAAGACGCTAAGTTTTTGAAATAACCATCTTTTAATACCGCGTCGGACAGATCACAGTGAAAAAGCCTGAGTTCGAACAGATGGGGCAGCCCCTGGAAGGCCTCTGGGTGCAAGAAGTCTAGCCGACTGTCGCCCAAGTCCAAGACCCTAAGATTGGGCAGGTTTCTGAAGGCTTCTTTGTGAATGGAGAAGGAGGTCTTCTGGGCCCCAAGCTCCAGCAGGCGCAGCTGCTCCAGGAAGGGGAAGGAGGAGGCTGTGACGTTCTCGATGTAGTTGGAGCTTAGCAGGAGGTTCTCAGTGGTGTTGGGCACCTGGGGCACCTGGGTGAGGTTGCAGGAGCGATACAAGGCAATCCGACCGTCAGAGGAGCAGGGAGCAATTCCAAGCACCGGACTGGCCATGAGCACCACTCCTAAGACAAGGTCAAGGTGATCTCCCATGATCCTGTGGAGAGAAGGGAGAATGAAAACACAGCTGTCCAAGCTTGAGGTATGACACATGGATCTTTAGAACGTGGGGGGACCCTTTGAGCTTTACCGCGATGTGCCTGCTGTCTCAGGCCCTTTGGTCCTCTGGCTCCGTGGACGTGGCGGTGGGCAAACACCGTCTGATGTACACAGAGTGGCAGTCCTCACTGTCTTTCTGTCTCTTGTATTGGGTTCGCTACATGCCAGGGTGATTCTTAACTGGTTTGAGGGTCATGGACCCCTTCAGGAATCCGTCAATAGCTCGGATTCCTTGCCTTTCAAAAATGCACCCTTGTACCTCAAACCAAGTGTTATTTCCAACGTTGGGGGGTGCAGGGACCCTCTGAAGCCTGCCCCTTTTAACCTCCCGTCAAGAAGCCCTAGTTTATAGGTAACACCCACCCCATGTTATGTTCTGTGACGGGACTCGGAAAGCTTTTCCTGTAAGGGGTCAGATGACAAATATCTTAGGCTTTGCCGTCCAAATGCCACAGTTTGCTGACCTCTGTTCTGGAAGAAAAGAGAATGGCAACTTCAGTTTCACAGATGAGCATTTTAAGTGACTATCAGGTAAACGTGTCCTGATCTTGAACTACCAGTACTTGTGGGAAAGAACTTGAACTACCTTGGCCCCCAGGTCACTGCCAGTTTTGCAGCTGCCGTTTTATCCGAGCATCAGAATGGATTCTCCTCTCATGCAACCAGATGGCAAGATCCCTGCAGAGACTTGGGAGGGAGAATACCAGGTCAGAATAACAGGGGCAAGTGTTCTAGTTTCACTCCTGTCTAGTTACACAGATGATTCAGTGCTGGCCCCCGAATGCAGACCCTCACCTAAGTGGCGTGACCTTGAATTTGTGGTAACAGCTGATGAAAGAGAGCCCCAAACCACATCCGTCCCAATACACTGAACTTTCAGGTCCAGCACAGGGAAGCTCAAATGAAACAGTAGATAAGGCCAGCTGAACAAATAGATCTCAAAGACAATTATTTGGGTTTCTGTTGTATTGCAATGGTACCACTCAGAGCTATTTTCTTACGAAGTACAGAAAGACGTGATACAACTACATGTTCGTCTGTGAGGCAGGCCTGCGTGGGTCAAGTGCCAGGACAGGTGAGCAGAGGAGCCAGGTGAGCTGCCAGCGGACGGGAGTCTGGAGGGGCTGCTCACGCAGACAGAGCTGGGAAGAGGGACCCCCAGACAGGAGTGTCCCGGATGGCACGGAGCCAGAGGCCGAAACAGGGTGAAGTTAAACATAAGTGAGCAGGGACACAGGGGAAATCTCATCCACAGGTGACAACCGGACGGTGCGGCCGTTTCAGACCTGACGGAGCCTCAGGAGGCTGAGCGTTCAAAAGTGGGTCCATCCGGACAGCGAGAGAGAGCAGGTGGGCCGCAGGTGTGAACACAGGAGCATCCAGGGGAGCAGACCAAGTGACCTAAAGCCCTAAGCCCGACATGGCTTGAAGCCAGACGGATCAGGGGGAGTGAGAGCGTGAGGAGTGAGGCTCACGGGGCCACCTGCTTCTCCCGAAGTTCAGGTTGCCGACAGCCGCCTCAGACCCCATCAGAGGAGTGCGCCCTCTAGTGGTGTCCGGAGGGAGAAAAAAGGGAGCTGGGGGCAAGGGCAGTGTGCGCCTGAAGCATTATTAACAAGAGGATGAGAAGCTTCAAGGACAGTCACAGATGCTGCTAGTTCTGCCACCAGGTGACATATGGATGCCTTCCTACGAGTCACTGTGCTGTGCCAAACGTCAATAATCCCACAGGGCGTCTGGGGGAAAAGGGGCTGCAGAACAAAACTCAGACACCTCATCAGTGACCCACAAAAAACCTAATAAAAATGGCAGCACCGTTTCACACATGTTGCATGGTTAAGAAGTACAGAAGCACTGCAAAAAATATCCCTGCACCTCGAAAGAACCCGAGGGCTGCCTGTGGAAGTGGGGGTCCGAGGGTCTACGGGGAGGAGGGGGTGATTTGGTATCAGACAGAAAGGTGTTCTGGATGCTACGAAACTGTACGCTGAAAATGGTTAAAATGGTGCATTTTATGTTATGTATAATTTACCGCAATCAAAAAAAAAATTAAAGAGAAAAACCCCCAACACTGCTGAAACCTGAGCCCGCGTCCCGGAAATTCGGGTTATGTAGGTCTGGTGAGCCCGGGGAGGTCACTTCATAGCCAAACCCCATTTCCTTTGAAGCACATGGTTCTCGGGCCATGGCGTGAGGAACCCCGGTCTACAGGAGCCCCCCTGGAGAACCCCTGACCCTCTCAGGAGAAGGGCTGGCAGGAAACGCAGGCCGAGGTCGAGTGCTGGGTGTTTATTACGAAGGCTGGGCCAGCGTGTGTCCGGGGCTTTGAGGGGTGATGGGAACAGCGCCTCAATACTCCCGCCTCAATACTCCCACCAAGCGCTGTTAATTAGGGTAATGAGACCAGAGGGAGAAGGGGCAGCCTCTCTTTCGTCTGAGCCGGATTCATTTAGCTTGAGTCCCAGCCATTCGTGGAGCGGGTCCCCTTTCCTGACTCCATTGCCTGGACAGCATCACCGTCGCCACGCACCTGAGCCCGGGTGAGTTCTGGGCCGTGGTGTCTCCACCGGGGGGCGCGAGTTCAGGGCCCTCCTTGTGGGCTACAATTGCTGGAATGGTTAATCGGAGAGGGCTCTTAGCACTCGACCCCTCTCTCTGAACAGAGGGCGAGAGCCAAGCCAGCCTACCTTCCTGGCTGCCTTGACGGCCTGGCCCTGTGTCCTAGGAGTGGCTTCTGTCTTAGAACTTGGCCTCCATCCGATTCCCCTGCTGAAGCCGGCCCCTGGGCATCAGTGCTTATATTTGCCTCATCTGCTCACCCACTTCCCACTGCCCCTTCCACAGGGCCAGCTTTCCCATGATGCAGCTCTCCTAGCCCTACCCACACGCCTCATCTCCCTCCCTGGCCTCCTGTTCGCAGCTCCCCGAGAGCATTCTCACTCTATCATGCCTCCCACCCCGCCCCCAGGCTGTACACTTCTGGAGAGAAGGGGCCTGAAGCACACGGCGCAACTTAAGTACCCCAGTAACATGTTTCCCTTTCATGGTCTTCGTAACCATTTTATTTATTTTACAATTTATTTTTGTAGGTGACATGCAATGTCATATTAGTTTCAGGTGTACAACGTAGTGATTCAACAGGTACATACTTACGACGTGATCAGCGCAGGAAGTCCAGTGGCCACCTGTCACCGCACAGAGTTATTAGGAGATTATCGACAGTATATCCCCTGAGCTGCGATTTGCATCCCTGCGACTCATTTTGTAACTGGAGGTTGGTACTTCTCTCCCCATGAACACCGTGGAGGAGATTTCTTTTCATCAGGAGTACTTACCTCCCAGTCCTAACACAAGGTGCTTCTCACATGCTCTTCTTAGTCCGGGGGCAAAGGCAGGTACTTGGTTGTTGAAGGACGTTAGCTCCTAGACTATGGGAGGTTCAGCACAGAGTCAGTGCTGGGCGGTGTTTCCCAGTGAATCGGGAGAAAGGGCTTTTGTTTTCCTAGGGAAGAACAGGAAATCCAAGTGAGGGGGAGAAACAGCCCTGGCTGGTGCTGCTCAGTGCATTGAGCGCTGGCCTGCGAACCAAAGGGTCTCCAATTTGATTCCCGGTCAGGGCGCATGCCTGGGTTGCGGGCCAGGTCCCCAGTTGGGGGTGCACAAGAGGCAACCAATTGACGTTTCTCTCCCTCTGCTTCTCCCTCCCTTACTCTCTCTCTAGAAAAAAATAAATAAAATCTTTAAAGAGAGAGAGAGAAACAGAAAACATGATGCAGGTGTTTTTCTGTGCCGCACAGCCATTTGCTTTGTGGGAGAATTTACAACGTTAGGCGTGTCTTACTGAGTGGAATGTAACAGGAAAAGATCAAGGTCATTTTGTCAGTCAAGGCCTGTGGCACCTCAGCGCTGAAGGGATCTGGAGGAATCCCAGGCCTAGCCCCTGCTTCACCAGGTGGGTGTGTGCACGGCTTCCTTCTCTGCAGCTCAGGAAGGGAAACGCTGAACTTTCACAAGCCATCCCTCGTGGTTAAATCCCCGTGGTGGTGAGGAGGTGTCTTCTGTGGACCTAGGAGTCCCTTTCATGGCATTTCCGTGGTCGTTTGGTTGCTGGGGACTCAAGCCCAAGGGTGAGAACGATGCACTGTCTACAGTGAGCAGAGGACTTGCAGGTTTCTAGGGGAAAAGCAGCTAGGATCGCCCGCAGAGTGTGGCATTTCTAACAGTACGGCTGGGTGAATTAGGAGACGCTGGGTAATTACTAGGTCGCAGATTTAGAATAAGGATCCTGAAAGTTGAATTGACATATAGTCCTGTCCTCCCTTCCTCCCTTCCTTCCTTCACCTGAAGATATGTTTATTGGTTTGACAGAGACAGAGAGAAAGGGAGAGAGAGAGAAACATCGATGTGAGGCAGAAACATCAATCAGCTGCCTCCTCTACATGCCCCGACCGGAATTCAAACCCACAACCTAGGTATGTGCCCCGACTGGGGATCAAACCCACAACCTTTTGATGCACAGGACGATGCTCCCACCAACGGAGCCACCCAGCCAGGGTACAATTTTGATTCAGTTGAAGGCTCAAAATGACAACTAAGTGTGTAGCTGGCTTCAAATCCTAGCCCTGTTTAATAGACACGTGACCTTGAACAAGTGCTTACCCTTCTGGAGCACCAGTTTAATCGCCTGTACAATAGCAACCGTAGCAGTTCTGACTTCTCCCCGGGAAGCCTCAGTGTGGGCATCTGAGGACACCGCAGAGCCCAAGCCAGAAAAGCAGTTACTGAGGCACGAGTCTCCGTTATTTCTTGCTTGCTTAAGTAGACACCCGTCGTTTCCCCAACGGCATCTCACCAGAAACGCCTTCCTTTTAGAAACCACTGAAGGGGAAAAGAGAGAAGGAAATGGAATTTCGCAATGCACTGAGGTGAGCTGGCGCTTCTCTTGTCTGTAAAAGCTTCCCCTGTTGCCTTTCTGGCTTCAGGTGGTTGCGCCCCAGAACCACAAAGCAACGAAAACAGCAGCCAATAGGCAGTGACATTCTAAAGACAGGAGCTTGAAAACCCAAATGGTTAGCGCGCCGCTTTTAAGCATCGGGTGCAAAGAAAGAATTCCACCCGAGCAATTATTACAAAACTAACAGCCAGCGTGACATATTTAAAACCCCTGGGGGAAGCTGGCTCCGCAAGGAATGGCACATCTCCACTCGCCTTCGAGTTCAGGCTGCGCCAATATTCTCAACCAGAGAATTAACAGCTCAGGCTCCGATAGCGTCCCGGCTTGCGACTCAGCTCATGCTGGCATGCTGATGGGCAAAGTGAATTGCCAGGAAAGGTGGGCCACTGCAAGGTCAGGAGCCAGAGCAGAGGAGAGCTGGGAGTCCGATGTTGCGTCCCTCCCTGACAGTAATGACACAGACTCTGTGGTAGGAGCAGCAGACGCCATCTGGACTGTGATGTAAAGGGAGGCAGCGGGGTGGGTGGGGGCCCTGGGTGGAAAATCCTTGTTAAACTGTGGTCTGCTAGACACAGGCAGTGGAAATGGGCGAAGAGGTTATAAAGCCCTTGAGAGCTGTCCTGGGCGGGATCTGGAGTCTCTGCTGGGCTGTAAAGGCATCAAGAGAACCCCCCCACTCCCCCGGGGGTGCTAAAACCAAGTTTGCTCTGTAGCCCAAGGAGACCCTCCCCACCCCCCGACACAGGTGAAGGATGGAGAGAGAGAGGAGTCAGGCCAGCAGGAGTGGGTCCCCGGTCTCCAGGTCCACTAGGTACAGAGGAGGAAAGACATTCCATTGGCTGGGTGAGCAGGGTGTGCCGGTGGGTGGGTGGGTGGGTGGGGTGCTGGGAGCCACACCCCTACTGGAAACACTGCGCCCGCTGTGTGTGCAGTGTTCTGGGCCGTGGGGAGGTTCCCGGAATCTGCCCTGGGCAAGCTGCCCGGAGCGGCTGAGCTCCTTTCTGCGGGGTGCGAGTGGGGTCAGCCAGACACTTGGCTCCACTCCCTGTGGGTGGGAGATCCACCCACAGGAAGACGCCTGAAGTCCTTGCGAAAGCCCTGGGCCGGGAGAGGGGCCTCCTGGGTCCTAGTCCTCCTCCGCCACCATCTGGGCGCTTGGACCAGAGTGGTTCCCTTGTCCTGTTTCTGTGCATACGTGATGGTGAGCGTGAGCTGGCAGCGTTCCATACCCCCATCAGCTCCACAGTGGCCTGACAAGACGTGCCCAGCGGCGTGACCGCGGTCACAGGCCAGGGCAGAGTCCTGCTAGGGGTGGGGGACGCAGCCTCCCTTTTGGCAAAGGTGCGAGTCTGTTCTAGGGCGTCTTGAAAACGTCTGGTAGAAAATAATGTTACAATGTGCTACTAAAATGAGTAACTACAATGGATCCAAACAGATCCTGGCCTTAAGCAGCATGTCCTCCCAAGGATTCACTCTCAGGGGAGGCTGTTTTGGAGGCTAGATAATATTTTGAGGGCAGAAAACTCCCCCGCCCCACCTTTCCCTGCTTCCCTCCGCGTCTCCCCCAGCCGCCCCATGCCGTTGTCCCAGGCCGGGCTTGTGGCAGGGCCAGACCCAGACGTAGCTTTCATTTTCCGGACATGGCCTTAGGTCAAGGACGCAGAGGCTTTTCCGGGAGGACCAGAGAGGAGCAGGCTTGGAGGGGAAAAGCAGGGAGGCATGGAAGGAATAGGAGGGGTGGTAGGTCTGTGGGTCCCAGGAGGGCAGGACTCTGGTGTGACCCCAGAGTGTGGCTGTATGGTCTGAAAGCAGCAAGAGACCAGGGAGCAGGGACAGGAATGCGCTCACTGGTGACCTGTGTGGGCTAGACAGGGGAGCAGCATCACCCCCACCTCTGCCCCGAGGTTTTGACAACGCACGACAGCCGGATGTGGTGACACCGTGGCGTGGCGGTTTCTGTTCTAGCCACTCTGAGGGGACAGGTGTCTAGAAGAGAAAAGGAGAAGCACTACCCCAGCACACCTGAGCACGCCAGACAGTCACGCTCTCCTCTGTCCTCTCATTTTGCGTGTTGGGCAGGAACATAAGTTAGCCTCGGAACTGCAGATGCCCCCTGACTTACGACGGGGTCCATTTCGATAAACCCATCATACGTAAAAATGCATTTAATACGCCCAGCCTATCAAACGTCGCAGCTTAGCCTGGCCCACCCTCAACGTGCTCAGAGCACTTCCGGTGGCCTACAGTTGGGCAGAATCACCCAACACAAAGCCCGTTTCATAACCAAGTGTCGAATATCTCATGATATCATTTATTGACTGCTGAAAGGGAACAGCAAAATGATGCTATGCACCATTGTCAGGTCGAAAAATCACAAGCCGGGGACCGCGTGCATTTAGAGCCAGTTATATCTCCGACCACGACGCAGAGGGAGCTGGGGCCGCAGAAGCTCGGGGCCAGAGGTGGCTTTAGTTCCTGCCTTCACCACGTCTGCCCGAGTTCAAGTGCGGGCTCAGTCTCCCCGTCTACGGCACGGAAGGGTTCTGAAGATTACATCCGATGAGACCACGTAGCTCCTGTTTTGAGGTCCCTTGCAACGCTTTGCACGTAGCAGATTATCTGTTGACTATTAAATTACGTGTTACCTGGGAAAGCCGGTCTAACCGACAGTGAAACTGGGTGCTGATAGATCCCTGGTTTGGTGACCTTGGACAGGTCACACTGGCGGCAGCGCCAGGACTATGAGTCTTGTCGCAGCATCAGGAACATGAACAGCAATTGACCTTAATGCATGACTTTGCTCTTTGCCATCGGAAACACGGTAATAATAACAGTAACCTCTCAGAGGCACTCAGACCAGTGTCTGGCTCAGAGCAAAGGCCGTTCACGTGCTTGCTGTTAGGACGCTGTTCCCAGTCTGTGCGCGGCAGAGGAGGACACGTCTGGCCAGCACCGTCATGGAGGAAAGTCAAGTCTTGGGGTGCTGGCGGCAAGCTTACCCCAGGCAGGGGAGAGGAGCCGCCAGCATTTCAGCATCGCAATATCCTGTCATTGGAGTTAGCAATCCCCTGGCTCTGGAGAACACCCAAAGTGGAAGTTCTCTGGGACGTTTGCGAGGGACAGAACAGAGGGGAGGAAGGTCTACGCGAAATACAATCCATGTGCAGAGGGGCACTGATCCAAATCCCTCAGCGTAAACAGGCCCCTTCTCTCCTCCTTCCTCTGTGGTCGGCTCTCTGGTGCCTTCTCGTGACACGGCCACTCCTCCCTTCTCGCTGACAGCTGGCCTTTCCTTCCTTCAGGGCCAAATTCCTCAGGCGTGAGGTGGAAAGGCTCCGTCCGACGTCCCCGCTGCCCATTCACCAGCCTCCTTCTGACCCCGAGAGATCTGGCTTTCCTCGGGGCCTGCCCTCTCGGAGGTCGCCTCCTTCTGGAACGTTCTTGTGGGAACCTCCCCATTCACTTTCAGCACAGGCAGGGCCGGCCACCTGTTTCTCGAAACCGCTCTTTCTCCCCGCCCCTGCCCCGCACCCCGATGTCTCTGATTCTCTTCCCACCTTTCCGTCACTCTGTGTTTCCCTCCAGCTCCTCTCCTTCTCCCGCCCCACCCCCCAGCCTGTCTCTTCTGCTCATGCCCTTGATCTTGGCTTAGACTTCTTCCCTCAGTGGACTCACTTGGCTTGACAAGTTGGACCCTCCCCACTACGTTTCCCCAATCTCGCGCTAGCCCTGACCTCGCCGGTACTCCAAGTGTGTGGCTGTTTTAGCCGATTAAAGGACCCGTTTATAACTTCAGATTCAACATGGCCCCAAATGATTTAGTAATACTTTGAATTTTGGAAATCACCTAGAGACAGAAACATTTTTGCACGGCAGTCAGAAGTGGACCTCTCCCCTGGCCAGGGACCCAGCTCATGTGTGACGCCGCCTCCACCTGCCTCGCGGGTCACCTAGACCCCCCTTCCCCTCTGCTCTCTTTCCACACCTCAGCACCGAATCCTGGCCTCCGCCCTTCCCAGTGTCTCTCTAGCATTGCTCTTCCTCTTTCGTTTCCATCACCACGGTCCGATCTCCCATCAGAGATGTGTTTGCTGGGCACTCTCTCTCAACAAAGAGGTCCCCCAACCGGATTTCTCTAGGGAACACCCCATCACTGCCTTTGGGGTGCTAAGTCACGAGCAGGGGGGCAGCCTCGAGGGGATGTGGGGTCGTTAGAGGTGATGCGCCCGTGCGGTGGGGCTGAGGGACCTCCGCACCCAGGGAGAGAGACACGGGGCCCTAAGGATCAAGAATGAGCCAGAGGCAGCCATGGGCGTCGCTGGTGGTCTAGGGAGAGGGGGGAGCCCAGGCTCGGCGGGTGTGAGTCCAAGGTGGGGGCCGTGGAAGCTGAGGCCGAGGAGGACACCCTGGGGTCTGACCCAGAAGGAGCCTGCATCCCGTCCTGAGGGCAGCAGGGGCTGCTAAGGGCTGGAGTGCCATCACTGCCCTGAACTCAGACTCCTTGAGGCCCCGGGATTTAGCTCTACCAGATGTATCTAATCTCAAATTCCAAATAATAGTGCTTTATGCATGCCTTCCGTTCCAAGGAGGTGAGGCGCTTCAATGCGCCCTATATATGGTTCAAGGTCAGTCCAGCATTGTTTCCCAAAGGCCTGCGCTGTGCCAGCCGCCAGCTTGGGCTCAGGGGATTGCACGCTGAGTGAGACCCAGCCCTGCCTCAGCAAGTGGGGCGGAGACCCCTCAGCTCCAGCGGGCAATGCAGGGTGCAAGAGCATCCCTAGAGGTTCATGCAGGAGCAGTGAGGGCCAAGGAGGAGCTCCCCAATTCTGCTGGAAGACTGGGTGGGGGGTACCGCGGGTGCCGGGGATGCCCTCCACGGAGAAGGTACATCTTTCAAAAGGTAGAGGGTTCCCCAAGAGCAAAGAGAGAAGCGTGCAAAAAAGACCTGGTCAGAACCTGACGGGAGGTCGCTGTGCAGGGGACAGAAGAGAGTGACCAGAGGCAGAGCTGGAAAGGGAGGCAGGGACCCAGGGCTGCATCCGGTGGGCAGTGAGCTCTCTGCTTGTTCTGAGCTTCACCTTGGACTCAGGCTCCCTTCCCTCTGCCCGGCCCTGTCGCCTCTCAATGCTACTTAAGACCGAGGAGCTCCGGAAGCCCTCCCCGCCTTCCCCGCCCTCACCCGCTGTCTCCTCTGAGCAGAGACGATGCCGCGCGGGTTCCTGCTTTAATGGTTGCCCAGGCACTGGCTTTGTCGCCCCACCTAAACCTGGAGGTTTCTATGCCCCCAGCTGAGTCAGTGCCATACAGCTGGGCATACTTGGCTTACATGCAGAGTTGGGGGGACTGCAAAGCCAGCACTGGGGATTCCAGAAGCTTGAGGCCTGACCGAGGCTTTGGATCTGCCGCCTGTTTTCTCCCCCACAAAACTAAGAGTGAAAGTGATGCGGCTGGATTCAGCCCGAGTGCACTCCAGTGCTTCCTCGCCATCTGAGTCTGTGAGCACTCAGAGGCACACACACAGGCCTGCTTTGATTTCGACACTCAGCAAAGCCAACTTCCCTATGCAGGGAAGTCTTGCAAAGGTGACCGTGAGGCTGGACACAACTCCCTCAGAAGTCTTCTGTCCTCAGAAACAAAACCAGAAACCCAGAAGGGTTGGCTTTGCATTCAGACAAGGGAATGGAAAAGCTTCCTGCTTTGCTCAGGGCTATAGTGCCCAAGGGGATGATGGGACACGGCTTGGGACGGGAGTACCAGTCTAGCCACTATGCACGAGTGTGGGCGTACTGATTGTTAAAATGTGCCTGGTTGTTATTTTGGCCTGGACCTCCAATAAGGGAGCCCGCTGAGGCCTCCCCACAATCCCACCAGGGAGGGTTTAGCATGGAGCGCGAGGCCTTCTCCCGGGCTCCGCCCCAGGGTTTCCGGGCATCCTGGAGGTCGCTGGCCACTGGCTTCTGTGCACAAGAACAAGGGTGACGCAAGCCAGGGAGTCCAGGGGCGCTCAGGCAGACTAGCCAGAGCCCAGACTGGCTGAGTAAATGTAGGGAAAAGCGACCAGACCGGGAGTCTGTCTAGGCCCGTGGGGTCCAGCAACAGAGGGCGACACTAAGGCCCTCCCCCAGGCCCGGACACGAGGATGCCGCCCAGATGCACTTAATGTCCACAGAGGCACCGTATTGACTAGGTTCTTGCTCAGCAACGGTATCTCCCGGAAGGACACCAGGGATGAGCCCGCGCTGCTGTAAGGGATGGGTGTGTTCCAGCGCCGGGTGACTGGGAGCCAAGGAGGAAGTCCCACCGTCAGCTGTCAATCATCCCGGCTCAGCAGCCTTGCTGGGACAGCGCTCCTCACCCCCAAGACAACCCGCCAAACCCACCCTCACCCTTGGGAAATGTCACCGCAGCTGTGGTTTTCCCGGGACGTGGCTCACATACAGAAACGTAAACCTGTTTACCCACCCTGTTTACCTCGCTCGGCGCCTCTGCCCCGCTGCTGTCCCCCGTGCTAGGGGTGGGGGGCTCAAGGCTTGCTCAAGGTCAGCTCAGGCGCCGTCTGGGACTTCCAGGCCTCTGCTGGAGGCAGCTGTCTCGTTCTTCCAAGGAAGACAGTGAAGGCACCTGCCCCTTCGTGGGCGGGGATAAAGTGAAAACAAAGTCCGGTAAAAGACTGTTCAAAGGTGAGAAAGCAAGGGATTTCTACACAGCCGCGTTCCCCTGCGTCCCACCTACTTGGCACAAAGGATCCACATTCTGCCCCGCCCCCCCCCCCCTGCTCCCCAACCCTGCCCAGGGCCCCCGTGGTGGGGTGCGGACAGCAAGGTCGGGGGTGGGACGCCCGCCCAGCCCAGCCCAGCGTAGGGACCGGAGCTGGGAAGAGCCCAGGATTTCCGGGAGGGAAAGGCGTCAGACCACTAACTCCAGCCTCGCCCAGTCTCCTGCTGGGGGCGTGGGCCCTCGCGCGTGCTCGCTGCAGGGCGCTCACCTCCGCGGAGGGCTGCCTGCGCTTCCACTCGCTCCTCCGAGCCGCCGACGGGCGAGGCCCAAGCCGCTGTAAGGAGGAGCCGTAGGCCCCGCCCACCGGGGCCGGCCCCGCCCACCCGGCCGGGTCCCGGGCCTCTTCCCAGCCCCGCGCTCCAGGTAACCTCTGAGTGCGCTGGGGCAAACCTCTGCCCAACGCTGAGCGCTCGGACTTGCTGGTGTCTGGGAGAACCGGGGGCTGCTGGGACCAGGCAAAGTGTCCGTTTGCCAAGGAAGAATACAGGGTTTGGGGGCAGGGGGCTGGACGTGCGTGCTGGGTGTGCTGGTAGGGTATCCTGGATTCGAGAGAGACTGGACAGGGGAGGGAACAGAGCTGCGCCTCTGTAGTTATCCGAGATGTCCATAGAGGTCCTCCAGGCCGGCAACGCCCCGGCCTCTCCTCTCCCATTGGACAGAGGAGGAGGCCCCGGGGCCGAGGACCTGGAGTAACTGCCCGGAGGCACAGCCAGAAGCTGGCACCCAAGGGACTCTACCCCCCTATGCCCAGAGCAGGGCTCCTTCATCCGCACCAAACCTCAAGCCACATTTGGAAGATCTTTTTTTTAAAAAAAAAATTTCATTGATTATGCTATTATGGTTGTCCCATTTCCTCTCCTTTATTCTCCTCCGACCTGCACACCCCCTCCCACCCACATTCCCCCCACCTTAGTTCATATCCATGGGTTGTACATATAAGTTCTTTGGCTTCTACATTTCCTATTCTATTCTTAACCTCCCCCTGTCTGTTTTCTTCCTACTATTTATGCTATTTATTCTCTGTACCTTTCCCCCTCTCCCCTCTCCCCCCTCCCACTCTCCTGCTGATAACCCTCTATGTGATCTCCATTTCTGTGATTCTGTTCCTGTTCTAGTTGTTTGTGTAGTTTGTTTTTGTTTTTGGTTTTAGGTTTGGTTGTTAATGACTGAGTTTGCTGTCACTTTACTGTTCATATTTTTTGTCTTCTTTTTCTTAGATAAGTCCCTTTAACATTTCATATAATAAGGGCTTGGTGATGATGAACTCCTTTAATTTGACCTTATCTGGGAAGCCCTTTATCTGCCCTTCCATTCTAAATGAAAGCTTTTCTGGATAGAGCAATCTTGGATGTAGGTCCTTGCCTTTCATCACTTGGAATACGTCTTTCCAGCCCCTTCTTGCCTGTAAGGTTTCTTCTGAGAAATCAGCTGACAGCCTTATGGGAACTCCTTTGTAGGTAACTGTCTCCTTTTCTCTTGCTGCTTTTAAGATTCTCTCCTTATCTTTAATCTTGGCTAATGTAATTGTGCCTTGGCATGTTCCTTCTTGGGTCCAACTTGTTTGGAACTCTCTGAGCTTCCTGGACTTCCTGAAAATCTACTTCCTTTGCCAGATTGGGGATGTTCTTCATTATTTTTTCAAATAAATTTTCAGTTTCTTGCTCTTTCTCTTCTCCTTCTGGCACCCCTATGATTCGGATGTTGGAACATTTAAAGATGTCTTGGAGGTTTCTAAGTCTCTCCTCCTTTTTTTGAATTCTTATTTCTTCATTCTGTTCTGGTTGAATGTTTCTTTTTCCTTCTGCTCCAAACTGTTGATCTGAGTCCTGATTTCCTTCCTGTCACTGTTGGTTCCTTGTACATTTTGCTTTATTTCACTTTGGATAACCTTCATCTGTTCCTTCATTTTGCAACCAAGCTCAAGCAATTCTGTGAGCATCCTGATCACCAGTGCTTTGAACTGTGCACCTGATAGGTTGGCTATCTCTTCATTACTTAGTTTTTTTTTTTTTCTGGAGCTTTGATCTGTTCTTTCATTTGGGCCTCTTTTTTTTCTCTCTCTCGGTGCACCTATAGTAAGGGGCAGAGCCTTAGGTATTCACCAGGGTGGGGCAACCCACGTGGCTGCGTTGTGGCGCTGTGTGTAGGGGAGGAGTCCGAGAGGGAACAATGCTGCTTGCTCTGTGCCGGTTTCCAGTTGTGTCTCCCGCTTCCCACAAGCAAATTGGGCCCTTCTGGTGCGGATTCCCAGTGGGTAGGCTTGTATATGTTCTAGGACCCTGTGAGTCTCTCCAGCAGACTCTCCTGGGAGGCTGAGAATTTCTCCCACTGGTGCCACAACCCCCACGGGTGTCTTCAATCAGAGGTTTGAGGCTTTATTTCCCCGTCGGGACCCTGGGTGGTGTGGTCTGTCTCGCTCCCCAGTTGTTCCTCCTGGTTTATCCGCATGCGAACGTGGGACCGCCCGCCCCACCAGCCGCTGCCTTGCTGCACATCCTCTCTGCCCCGGCTGCCTTTCTCCACCCCTCCTACCAGCCTGGATGAATGTTTCTTCTTTAAAAACTCCTTGGTTGTCAGACTTCTATACAGTTCGATTTTCTGTCAGTGCTGGCTGTTTTTTGTTTTTAAATTTGTTGTCATTCTTTGGTTGTACGAGGAGGCACTATGTGTCTACCTATGCCTCCATCTTGGCCGGGAGTCCCCATCTGGAAGATCTTAGTGACAGATTCCGGTCAGCAAGTGCTCCCGTGCGTGTGTGGGAGTGGGGGTGTCCCGAGGAAGAAACCCTGAGTTTGGCGGGAGAAGCCAAAAGGAGACGGGCCCTTTCGGTCCTATGGGCGAGATGTTCCTTCTGCCAGGCCCTCTGGTCTCCTTTCCTGCCTGTGTCCCCACTGCTGGGGTTTGCAGGAAAAGAGATGCGTCAAAGGAAAGAAAACTGGCTCCCCAAAGGCTGGAGAAAACCAAGGGTTAAAGAGAGATGACTTAATGAACAGGTGGTGCAAGGGCTCTTCGGCTGAAACCCAGTTCAAAGACAGACGTGGCGCTGATGCGAGCAAGACTGGGGTGGGGGAGCATTGGGCAGGGGTGCAGACAGCGGCAGGTGCCTGAGCCCCCACCCGCATGCACCTGCCTCTGGGAGCTCGCAGTGTAATCACGGAACAGCCGGCCCTGGCACTCCCAGGCCTGGCACTTAATTACATCAGGAAGATCTCATGACAGAGTCTTCTCGCTCCCCTCCCTGGCTGGCAGCTTGAAGAATGAGTGACAAATTGCCTCAAGCAGGTCTCCAAGGACCGCATGCACAGGGATGATGCCGCCTCCCCACTGGTCGGGGAGGGGGGTGGGCGTTGTGGAGAGGGAGGGGCGCTCACGCTATGCTGTGGGGGTCTGCAGCAGGGAAGGGACCCTAAGGACACCCAGGGAGTGCTGAGAGCTGGGATCTTCGGTGGCCAGAAGTCGACCCTAAACCACACTTTGTGGGGGCAGGCCCAGGGTTCCCTTTCATCAGTGGAAGGCAGAGCACACATGGGGAACTTGATACTTGGCACCTGTTTCCTGCACTTGACTCTGCTTCGCAGGTGCACAGGGCAAGACCATCAGGGGCCTTGAGCAGCATGTGAGCCAGAGCACTGGCAACAGGTAGGGAGGGGAAGACCATTCAGCTGGTGTCCCGGCCTCCCGGGGACTTCCGAAGCCCTCACCCCTGGGTGGCTCCCGGCTTTGGGTATGGGTCCCAGCCGCCTGGCTCCAGGGACCCATGTCAGACCTGAGGTGGTGTCTACCTGACCCCGTCTTTTGACAGGTAAGGTCACTGGGGATTTGGCAACTTCAACCGGAATGGCCAGGACAGCTGAGGGGCTTCCCATCCCAACCCGTGGCCTTTGACACGAGCCCCCATTTGGAAGACCACACGATGGACGCATTCGCTGATTTAATTCTCGCCACAATGGTGGGAACCAGTATTGTCCCTGATTTACAACGGGGGCAGAGGAAGAGGAGAGCGTGTAACTTCTGGGCGCTCACACCAGCGTGGCTACCTTGGATGAGCTTTTCCATCCCTCCAAACCTCAGTTTCTTATCTCCAAAACAGAAAGCATAATACCTACCTCATCAGACTGTTGTCGATAGTAAAATAATAAATGGCCTGTAATACACACATGAAAAAATGCTCAATGTCACTAATCATCAGGGAACTGCCAATGAAAACCACAGCCCAGTCTCGTCTCACACTTGATAATGGCTATTATCCAAAAGGCAACAAATAACAAGCACTGGCAGGGATGCGGAGAAAGGAACCTTGCGCACTGCTGGGGGGGTGTGGACTGGTACAGCCACTGGGGAAAACAGTGTGAGATTTCCTCAAAAAATGAAAAACAGAGCTACCATATGACCCAGCCACTCCCCTCCTGGGTATTTATCTGAAAAAAGAAAAGAAAAGAAAAGACAGTTGGAAAAGATGCATGCACACCCATGTTCACTGCAGCATTATCTATAACAGCCACGCTTTGGAGGACACCTAGGTACCCGCCAATGGCTGAGTGGGTACAGGTGCCACACACACACACACCAGTATTAACATTGTAAAGTGCTGAGCAGAATGGCCGGCACAGGGCAAGGCACAGTAACCGGCAGAGGGGTTTTTAAAAGGGGACTTAATTGAGATGTAACCAACACACAGTCAAGCGCACAAATGGCCCCACAAATGACGCAGCTGCAGCCTATCCTACCGTCACCATAATCGTAGATGAAGTTAGCCTTTTCTGCGGTGTCCTCTAAATGGAATCACGAGCCTGCACTTCTCTCCCTTGGCCTAATGTTGCTGAGGTTCGCCGTGTATCATCGGCCTAAATCCTAACGGCCCCCGACGGCAAGCCCTCCGGGTGTGCCACAGCGGGTACACCGTGTGCGTGGAGAATGAACCAGAAGGTCTGGCCTTTGCCTTGGCTCGTGGAAGGTGACCTCTA